AGGCTTCCAAATGAGAACTGATTTCTTCCTTAGCACTGGATAGTTGCTGTTTTAAGTCTTTATTCTGCTGTTCCAATTTGCCAACATGACTCTGTGCCATTATTTCTGTTATGGTTGGAGTTTTGACCAGTTCATTTTGTTGAAAATTATTTTGTCACAAAAAAAAAACTTCATTAAACAAATTTCTCCTCACACTTCCCACACACTCCACTTTCCTCACCTAATTTCTTAACTAACTTCCCACACTCCTCATATCTAACTCTTTCGGTCTCTGGCTCGAGGATGAATAATTTTTGACAAAATGAACATTTGATGAAACAAACTTTCAATTCAATGAAACAAACTTTCGACGAAATGAACTTTTAATGAAACAAACTTTTGACAAAATGGGTGTTGATGAAATGATTGTTGACGAAATAATTTTCAATGAAGTAAATGCGACCATATAATTCTTGGGTTCCATAGTAGATCTGATGTAAATGAGTTTCATATTAACTATTTTTATCTAGAGATAGTTCTATATATTACTTAACAAATGGGACATTATAAAACTAATTGTGATGATAATAACTAAATTTTGGTCCCTGAAATTTTTGGTAATGTCAATGTTCACGCCCTATATAATAACTTTGGATTTTTTTTTCATTTGATCTTCAGATGTCAAATATGCACATTAAATAAAAAATAATGATTTTTGACAAAAAAAAATAAATGTAATTTTTAATAATCATTGTTATCATACATACATAACTGCAGTATTGTTTGTTTCTTACCTTTTCAAATCAATGTTTTCATTTTTTTATAGCATTAACAAGTTGAAGTGATGTACTTATCAATATATCATATATATAATATATAAATAATTTATTAATATTAAAAATTTTAAAAATTTAATACATGTATCTGAATAATTTAAATATAATAAAAAAATATACCTAAATTATCAAATAAAAAGCCCACATCTAATCATTTCAACTTGCTTGTTGAACCACTATTGCAGTCAACTTCAAGAAGAGGTTCCCAATCCTCCAGATTTGGTTGTCCTAAATGATTCTTTACCCAAAAAATACACAGCAAAGATACAAACTATGTGGTAGATTGATTGAAGGTTTTGTTGAATTGAACAATGTGAAATTCCTGATCTTATTTGAAAACTTTAATCTGGAAGCTTTGATGTTTTCCCCAATGGGAAGAGTACATTAAAAAAATACCATCTTCAATAGATAGCTAGCCACATTGATGCTTGAGAAAAGAAGAAATTTTCAAAACCAGAACCAGATACTGGCCACCAGAAACATGAACTGTGAGAAACATTCAATCTGAAACAACTTGATTGTTAGAAGCTCTTATGGCATCCACAAAATCCTGGACAAGTCAAATACCACAACTTTGCTTTCGAATTATGCCCCATTTTTCAAAAAGAAATACCTTGATGATGACCAAAGACAAATGGACCCACTTGCATGAAGTGGCAACACCATGCCAAGCAATCACAAATTGTGGAAGGACCCTGGAATGTTGAATTAGGGCATTTCTTCAATATGATAAATTTCAAAACCATGGAATGATCCACATACATGGCTTTACCTACACAAACCATACAGATATCCCTGATCCAATCATGGAAGAAGCATTGTATAATTTGGTCATGAAGTATCAGATTACACCATTGTAACCATCAAATAGAGAATTGTGCTCCAAAGGGTTTCCTCAGCCACAATAAGATCCAAAACCCCAGGCCTGAAATTATTAACACCAAAGATAAAAAAGGTAGGGTGATTGTACAGTGAATGACTTCCATTATTTATGTTTTGCTAGATACATAGTGAGACCTTTTTCTTTCAACACCTTGTGATGAAGGTTGTAGCAAGGTCAGGATGCTTTACCACATATTGAGAAAATCCCCCCTAAGATATAACAAAGCAATAAATTCACTTAGAAATAGATATCTAAAGAACATTGTTTCAGAAGCATATGTGACAATCTTAAGATCACTCTTACCTGAGCTTGAAAATCAAGATCTATCTGATATCATGTTTCATCAGCTGATACAATCACTTCAGAATGAGCCATATAGTATTTACAGCACCCTGTACAACACTTGGGAAAATCATCAGATGAAAGGGAGATACCCCTACTTCTTTTTGATGGATTTGTGAAGTCCTTCATGACAAGACAAATCATTAGTCTAAAAAATTACCTGTTGATAGCCCCTACTAGTGTTGCCCCCAGAACATTGGTGGAAGACTATACACTCATTCTTGAAAGATACAAGACTAGCTACAGAAAATCAATGCCATTATAATAAATGAAATATCTATGGTGGATGATGATCTGCACACCTTCATTAGCAATACCTTCCACTGGGTTCACAATAACAACTCAACACATATAACACCCCTGATCTTTTTCTTTTTGGTGTTGATATGTTGACATTAATGTGGCTCACATCAACCAATCCTTTTTTTCTAGAACTTGCTTTCAATATCAGAATCACTATGTTAAAAAAAAATCATTTAGATTAATTTGAGAATCTAATTTTTATTTTTTATTAAATAATTTTTTACCATTATTATTTGTATTGAATTTTTACCATTGTATCTTGTTCAATTTTTTGTTGTATCAACAAAAATAATTAGTAATGATCAGTGGGTGCATATTACTACTTTATGCAAAACTAAAGTCATATTTTTTCCTATTAAGTGCTTGTTGCCAAAGGACTTTTGTTAGTAGGATAGTCATCAGGAAATTTTCCTGCTGTAATATTATGTCCATAAATTTTAATATGTAAAGTTGTAATATTTGCATAAAAAATTATGTAATATTTACATTCAATGTAATAATTGCATGATTTTTGTATGATTTTTGCATAATATAATTACATAAATCCATGCCAGGAAAAATTTCCTGATGTACTGACATTTAATTTGAATATTGTAATAATATCTTGCAATAAATAAAATTCAAAGTTCAGCTAGTTTCTAGTTGTAAATTTGTAATGCAAATTCTTATTCAAATTGTTCATTATACACAAAACTTAATCTTAATTTTGGTCAAGTGCAAGGTTTTCTTTACAGCTGCACTTGTACTATTATTGCAGGTGAGTTCTGGTCAAGTGTCTCTATTTTCTTTCCAGCTTCATACGCTCTCAAAAAAAAAAAATAGAAATATACTACTTGAGGCATCACTATGTAAAATTGCAAGGGCTCCTAACTAATAGTTAAAGGTTGACCAAACCATTAATCAAAAATGAAGGAAATTTTTAAGTATATTTATACTTCTTGAAGTATTATAAACAACATGACTTTTTACATGATTTTGTCCAATAAAATATAATAAATAGAATGATTAATAATGAATGACTAATATTAATTACTAATGTTAAATTCCAAAATGCATCATTGATGTTGTCATGATATAAAATGCAACAATTGGGATCCAAGCATTTACTATTACCAGTCACAGGACATGTCTATAGGAGGTAATAAAATTTGGATGATCTGCTAGTAAAATTTTATAATAATAATCGAATGTCTTCAAACCCTTGTTTGATACCCTTGCTTGCCTTGTTGTGTAGCAACCACCACCAAATTTGAGAAATAACTTCTTTATCATATTTATCTGCTTTAAGAAAAATTTCAAGGCAGGTTGTTAATAAAACCGAAAATAATCCGACCCTCAAAGTCAAATTTTGCCTTTATATTCATATACGTAAAATTGACGCGTCCAATTGCAAGTATAAGCAGAAATAAATGTCCAAATATTACATTATTATGAATACTTACAGATTTTTGATCGCTTAGGTTAAAATAACCTTGAATGCATTCGGGGAAATAATTTCTTTTTCAAATAAATAATTATTTGATAAAACAGTTTTAAAATACAAAGACCTTACTTTTAAAATGGTAGGACGAGCTTTAAAGTTTTCACATTATGGTCCACTCCAATTCTAATTCTACATCATATAAATCAGGTTCATTTAGCAATATTATTAAATTATTCGCAAGTTTACTAATATAAATAAATATGCGCGCATAGTTATGTATTATATTTAATATTGGTTTCTAATGCCAAAGTCACAAATTAAAGACATTTGGATTTAGTGACCGCTCTACTAAATGATGATACAATAGTAAAAAGAACAACCAAGATGGAACTGATGAAAATGTAGAAAATGGAAAAATGGAAGACGTAGGTAGATGTGTTTCATTAAAATCATTCATCACCGAAAATTCAAGTATGAGAATGGCGGTGATGATGTTGTGCGTGAAAATGAAATTTATGTGAATTTACAATCCCCAAAATTTTAATTATAGATTTCAATTTCGATTTCGCATATATACAACAATGACAATGAAGAAAAGGAAGATGAGGATTAAAATGCTTCTAGATATGAAGATTCAGATGATATTTTTTTGCAGAGCTCCAAAGAAAATAATCAGTTAGAATTATTGATAAGGTGGTTAGATCTGGAGAAATAGCAGAAAGAATGGATTGGAATAGCAAAAAAAAGATTTTAATTATGCAGATTACATCATAGTTTTTATATTTGAGGTAATTAGGACAATATTATTTCTCTTGGTCTTTAACAATTAAAATAATTAAAATCACAAAGTGTCAAATTATCTTTTTACAAAAAAAAAAAGACATCTATCTAATTACATAAAATATATATAAATAATATAAATAAATATATAATATAAATAATACATCAAATATTAACAGCAATTAATGCTTTAGTCTTACTCCAATTTTCATTACTCACTTCTCTAATTTTTTTAGTAACAGTATCTAACTCCAGTAATTGGCTACCAAAAACAATATAAACATTATTATCAATAACGGTAGCGCATTTAAAGCTTAGCCAATTTCTCTTGGAATTTTCGTCATCGTCATCAAAAAAAGGTTTACATGTTCCATCATCTTTATCAACTTTCCACAGCCAATAACAAAATGCCAATAACATGCCATTGACATTAATCAATGATTTACAAACCGACCAATTATCACTTCCACCGCCTAATTTTTTAGGGTCTTCTTTTGATGGTGATGTATCAATACACCATAAATTATTTGCTGAAGTGGTGCAATAAATCTTATCATCAATAGCTGTGGCAGCATTAACTCTTGTCCACACATTTGTGTATCCACCTAAAAAGTCTACACAATGTCCTGTGTTTAGATCATCAATTAGCCATAGTTTATGACAAAATGCAAATAGATTATATTTAGTGTTCGAATTACTATCATCATCGGTTGTTGGAACTGGAACTAATGCATTACATGTTCCCCAACCATCCCAACTAATTTTTCTTGTGCTATGATCTGTCAATGAAAGTTCCCAAAGATTATTAAAAGTCGTGGTCACATAAACTTTATTGATTGAGGGTATTATTGTACCAGTTGCTGTTGAAGACCAATCTCCATCATCATACACTTGATAACTACCAGTTTCTGGAATAATTTCATATACTTTTCTTTCAATCGCTAATAATTTTTTCATTTTTCTTTTCTTTAAACGACTTTATAAATTTTTTTTTCAATGAATTTGTACCACTTTCTAAAGATGGAATATATAGTTGGCGTTCTATTATAATCACTATGGACAAAATTCCGTTTCCACCCCAGATTATTGTTCCATGTTTTTCATGGATTAACCGATGGATTAATCTGGGATGCCAATGGATCAATCTGCAAGCTGAACGGATTAATCATGCATTTCTAAAAGAGTGGGCAAAAAAGAGGGTCGAATTATAAAGGATAAAATTCATCAGGCAAAGGGAGTTGTTAAAAAGTGTATATATTTATGTGAACACGGGATAATTATAGTTCAACATCTACGAAGGATACAAGTTCCAAAAAAGACCAATTACCCTTTCTTAGTAAATGCATTATCATGTCCAAAGGCAAATAATTCTTGTTCACGTATTTTTATCAACAAAATAATTAATGATCACAATCATGAATTAGATCTTGTTGCTGGTTTTTTTTTTTAAGAAGAAATTTACTGCTAAAATGCTTAGAGATGTAGGATTTATGACTCTACACTGCAAATTTGGAGCTGCTACACAACGAAAATTTCTTGAAGACAAATACCCCAACCTATTTACATTAAAGGCTTATATGCTGAAATCCAAAATTTTCATCTGTCTAATGAATCTCTATCTAACGATTCAGCGCAAATGTCTGATTGGCTTGATGATAAAAAAGAAACGAAGATTATCGTTGTGTAATAAGTAGCAAAAAGATTAAGATAAAGAAAGATTCTTGATATTGATCTTTGCTAAAAAAAACGGAATGATTCGTTGAATTATTTTTTTGCAGTTAGATCAGTTGAATTTTTATTTGTTTTCTCTAATGGGAAAATTGATGATTTTTAATACGAACATTAATATAAATATAAAGAAGATTCCTTATCCTGAGAATTATTTGCAGATGAAATCTTTTAATCAATGGATTTTTATTTATTTTCTCCAAATAGAAAATGGGAGATTTTATTATGTAAAAAAAATCATAACCATTTTTTTCTTTTGTCCTGAAAAAGAACACAGTAACGTTGGGATACACCTAAATTTAAGAGAGTGGGTGCATATTAAGTTTTTTTTTGTGAATGCTCTGATAGATTCTGCGAAGGTTATATTAGTTTACACATTAAACACACATGTCTATCGATTTGCAGTGTTGTTTAACTTTGAACTGTCGGTTAAATAACTAGTACTAATAGGTAACTAGTTCTGAAATAAAATCACATGACATAGATTGATCATCTATCTATGCTAAAAATACCGCACTTTATTGCAATTTCTTTCTTATGCTAACATATTATACACCGACTAATAATGAAATTATCAAGAAGGATCGTCTAATTGATTGTTTGATGATTATGTTGTTTAGATGCAAAGGTTGGGAAAATTAGAACCAGGAGGAAATATATATATTTGAACAGCTAAAGCGAGACATATAATATTTTACCCTTCTTGCTCCAAAGATCTATTCCACGATTTGATTAAAAGTTTACTACCATTTATAATACATCTATTACCTAAAAATATTTATTTTCATTTTTATTTTACAGGAAAAAAAATGATTGGTTTTTTTTTCAAGCCTCATCATTCTGTTTTTGAATCAAGTATTATTATATCATGAATGGAATAAATGAACAAGAGTTTATAAGAATTCCTGATGTAAATTTTGTTGAAGACAATGGTGATGACAAATTATTCTTTTTCCGGGTGATCAAATGATTTTGGGAAAACAAGTTCCATCAACTTTAAATTCAAAAAAATAGAATGTTAATCATTTCTTTGCTGGGAAAAAAACCGAGCTTCTCTTAAGGAATACGATGTATTGGCTTATTCTTTACCCCAATTACTCACTCTTAAGACCTTTCTTTTCTCTTTCAAGCTCTTTCCATCTTCGCTCTTAATTTCTTTTCATTCTTCTCTAATTATTTCATCTTGAGAATACTGTGACTGTGCCGTAGTTCTTGGGTTTCGTAATAGACTGATTTGACGTAAATTAGTTTAGCTTTATGAAATTAAGCAATAATTTGATGTTGAACAATTTTTGACCCCTGTAATTCTTTTGTACGGCATGCCCCAATTTGTTGGTATGCAAGTATAATTTTACAATATCGTCATCATCATCTTATGTTCCAAGATATGTTCCAAGATATCGAACTGGTGCCTATGCAATCATGATAGCATTATACAACGGATATTTGATAAAAGAAGCTCAACAATATTGTGACTCGTCCTTTTGATCTACCAATCAAACATAAACATCAGGAAAAAATTGTGTATAAAAGCGGCGGTGGTTGTTTCTCAAGATTTCTTTAACAGATATTGACATGTCAAACTCACATTGCGCAAAGATATGATAAGACTTTAAAAAACACAGTTAATTAATTATCAGGTTCAAAAAAAAAAAAAAAAAAGAGGAAAAAAAAGTTAAGGAAATAATATACAGTAGTGGTGGTGATGGTGGTGATGTTATAGAGATAAAAAAAGAAGTACGCCTAGTATTGAAAAGGGAAAACAACTAGAGATTATTATTGAAATTGAAGATATTTTGACTATAAAACTTGTTTTCACACTAGAAACAGAATTGTCTATAATGGTGGTTTATTAAATAATGAATTTGATATACTAGAACTTATAGTTATTCTAATTCTAATTCTCCAATGACATGGAAGAGCTAGCTTTTGAACAGCCAGAGATTATCGAAATTGAAGATACTTTTGATTACAAACCCTGTTTTACATTAGAATCAGATTCGTCCAATAGTAATAATGATAGTAATAAGAATTTGTTAAATAATGATTTTGAGGATGCTTGTGAATTTGATATACTAGAAATTGATAGTTATTGCACTAATCCTAACTACCCAATGGATATGGAAAGTTCTTTTAATTCAATCACTAATTCTAAACCTATTGAGTTGGCGCCTGGTACATTGATGTGATTATTGTTTTAGATACACGTGAAATCAAATTGGTAGAAGATCAAGATTATATAAAAGATGTATTAATAATTATGAATCAATTATCTGTTAGAAGTTTAGAATTTGGCGATGTTATATGGATGGCTAAAGGATATGGATCGACAACGCAAAATGATTAGATTATGTTATTGAAAGAAAAAGATTGGATAATTTGATAGAAAGTATCAAAGATGGAAGACTTGGAGAACAAAAGGTTACAAAATAAAAACATTATTTTTTTGTATTTTTGTATATTTACTAATTATAAAATTATTCAATTAAAAGTTTCATCTTTCTAAATCTGGTCATAATCTAGTTGATGATTTAGAAGATGCTTTAAAACTTGAAATTGAAAATATTAAGTATATTGTCATTTGCTCAAATATTAAATGGATTTTTCTTGAAACGTGCTTCTTCAATTGATCAAAATATTGAATAGTGACTAGTATATTAAAAATTTATATGAGGTAATTAAAACCTGTAAAAATTAATAAATAAAAAATAAAAATTTTAACAAAAAAAAAAAACTGTTTATATGTCATTCCAGATAATGTTCTACATTTTTAGCTTTGAAGCAACAATTGGCTACTAATTATACAAATAATATTCACCATGTCAGATATGCATCATATTCAGAACTTAATAAAAGGAGATCTTTCTAAATTTTTAATGACAACCAAAGGCATAATAAGTGTAGAAAGGGCCAAAGAAATTGTAAAAAGATAACCAATACCACATGATTTATTGAAAGTATTTAATCAGTAAATACTAAAGAGGAAAAAAAAGAAAATGATCAAAGATTTGTACGATGGTATGATTCGTAGGAAAAAACGTAATATTAATGTTAATTTACTGGCTAAAAAAATTATATATATGCATTTATTATCCTGCTTTATGTTGAATCACTATTTAATTTTTGTTTTAACCAAAATCAGATATATAAAATATTTATTCAAGATAGTCTAAAATATTTGGAGCATTCTAAAATACAGATAATGGAAAGAAAAAAAAATACGATCAATATTCATTCATGATTAAAATAATCAAAATTATATATACTTGATAGCAAAAGTTATATATATATATATATGATAAAAAAATAAATTTAAAAATAAATATTCAACTTTTTAAACTAATATGATAATAATATCTAGCAAAATATATATCATACTAATCGTTTAATCGGTCCCATGGATAAATCTAATCTAATCATTTAAGATCACCGTAAAAAGAAAATAAAATGTATATATATATATATATATATATATAAATTTATTATTATTAGAAATAAAAAATTTAAAAGAAATATCCGTAATAATAAAAAAAAGAATTATAATAATGTGATGTTGATATTTATAATATAATGTCCATAAAATGAAAAAAAAGAATACTTGTTAATCGTTTGCCTTAATAATATAAAAAAATCTAATGGAATATAACTTGATACTGATTCAACCATTAATAATAAATATCTATACAATGTGAATTGACCAATAATTTTATTCATAATCCGAAAGGTTTTATATATCTTTATTATTGTTAATGATATTATCACGTATGTGGGGTGCGTGTAAAGTGAAAAGAGAGAGAGTGAGAAAAAAATAAATCACCAATTTAATCGATTCTATTGAACGAGCGTCCTCCCTTGTGTACGTCATTTAATTTTGGGTTATTTTTTGCCAAAATATCTTTACCCATTTTAGCAAAATCAAAGTCACAATCGTGTTTATTTGGAACTTTGTGGGTGTCGCAATAGACGTATTCTATTATTTATTTTTTAAAATATCATTAGCTCGTAATGTATTTTTATACTTGAAATAATAAAAGATAAATTTATGAATAATTACCACAGCGGCACTTATTAATAGTTTGTTTAGCTAAAGGAATTTTAGTACGGCACACGAAACAACTAGCCTTGTTTTTTTGAATTGGGCGTGCGTCAGAGCTAGATGATATAATAGCAGTAGAAGATTGTAAACTTGTGCCAGCGGTCGTTGTGGTGGTTGTTGTTGTTGTGGTGGTGGTGGTGGTGGTAGTGATAACTTCAGCAACAGATTCTCCGTTATTAGCAGTAATTGTGGTTGTAGTGAGAGGAGTGACTTGTTCAGCTGTTGCGGTAGTGTTTGTTTGAACTGAAGAACCTTCAAATTTAGTTGTTGTAAGTGGTAAATTTATTTGATTTGTTGAAGTTGTAGAAGTAATATTATTGGCTTTTTAAGGTAAATAATGAAGTCTTAGAAAAAAAATTACATATAAAATATACATAAATGATAACACTTTCTAGTCACATACCATTTTGACCATTTTTGTTACTAGTTTCTTTGAAACATTGAGAGCACATGTTGTTAAAAGTCGGATTACTGTTAAAGCCAAAATGGGAAATAATATATTGAATGATTGGAATTATTTACATGCTTGAAAATAACACTTGCTGATGTATTTTTTTTAATAAATAATAATTTTTATTTTCATTGATTGGAGTAAAAAAAACTGCTTACCCATAAAACCCGCAACCTTTAATACAACGAAGCATGTTTGTTGTGTTATCCTCCATTATATTTATATATGTGTATTGAATTTTACGGAAAAATAGCTTAGTCAGCGGTTTTATTAATTAATAATTCGAATATATATATTAGATTTTAAACACTTCAATCAAAATGAGCTTTTAAAGCAAATTAAAATTTGTTAATTGGAGGAAACTGACGACGACCACTTTTTTTATATTCTTCAACAATCAAAATAATATTACGTATGCTTTTTTTTTTTTTTGAAATTTATTATTTTTGTTCTGATAGGAGGAGTTGTTAGGAGGTGAATTTTTGGATTTATATTATTGGGGTAATGCTATATAACAACAAAACCAGACAAAGTGAACATGATGACACAAAAGAATTACAGGGTTCAAATTTTAGTATAATAATAATAATAACATAGTTTACCTATATCGGTGTATGAAATTCGACTGTGCCTCGATATAAAATGGTCTAATTTTGTTAATTTGGTTAGTGATATCTGCAACTAAGCTGGTTTCCAAATTTGGTTGGCGCGCATTAAAAAACACCAAAATGAACATTTATCATGTGACATAAATAAGAGGCTGGTGTGGCTGAAGATTAGCTAATTAATGACATTTTGATGCACAAATTTATGCATTTTTAAATTTATATCATGCCAAATTGTAGCTTGAAATTACAATATGCTTATATAGGATATATCTCCAGACAAAAATAGTTAATATGAAACTCATTTCCATTGGTCTACCATGGATCCCAAAAATTATTGCACCATTAGAAATATTTTGAAAAGGGAACAAGGTGAAAAAATCACTCCTTATGTTTTCAAAATAAATGATGCTCAGAAACTGGAACTTATCTAAGAAAAGAAAGATTACTTATGAAATTTACCAAAAAGAATAAATGAAAGCAGAATGAATATGTGCCATTATCCAACAAAAAGCAGAAGTATTTAGAAGGAAAATATTTTTTTTATTATTACAATATTGATCTATTTTTTTTACTGACATTATTACAAAGAAAATTTTTTCTTTATACTTATTAATAAAAACGTTTTTTTAGTTGTTTGAACAAATTTTACATTCAAGAATATGTTTTATAAATCTTTGTTTTTCTCTTATTGGCATTGAAACAAGGTAAATAACCCACCTTATGTCAGAATATTATAAAAATATCATCAGTTCACTTATTTTTAGGTAAAAAAATCTAATAACAAAATCCTTCAATTCAACACAATTTTATTTTGGTTTAAAAAACAAACAAGTTTTTTAATTGAATCAATCATGCACAAGTGAGCTTTTTTTTATTGGATTAAAAAAAAAACATGTGAAACATTGCAATTCTTTTTTTTTTTCATATTTTTATTTGATTAATTTAGTCAATTTGAACAATCTTTTACTTTGTTCAATGCACAAATACAATATTAACTAACAATTTAACTAATATCTAATCTCTCTTAAACCCCTTTGACTCAGGTAATTGAGTCTCCTGTATTCAGCACAGATATTATTTTTGTCAATGGACAAGGTTGTGTGTGGCAGTGTGAAACCTTGCATTTTATGGACAGTGAGGATGAATGAATTCTGGATTGGGAACTGGCACCTTGAAGCTGGCATGCCATTGATATTGAAGTATGAGGTTGTTTTCTGAACATTAATCTTTAGTATATTATTAACTGTAGGGAGGACAACCTCAATGTTATCATCATCATCAATGATTTTGTGATCACACCAATAGTTCCATTGCATATGTTATGATCAAAAAGCCTATTATTCAAATATATTATGCAGGCACCCTCCCCCTCTCAGCCAACTTTCTAATGAATACCAGCATAAGTTGTTCGAAATTGTTTGAGAACAAATCAACATGTTGGTAGCATTTCTTTAAAAAATATTGTGCTTCATCCAACCTTTTACATATCTATTGTATTTTTTTTTGGAATCTTGAAGACAAATACATGAATAATAAAAATATATTTATATTGTAAATCATATAATTTTTTTATAGATTATTACAAATATGTAATTAATATACATGAAGTCAAAACTATTTCAACCATTTGCAGATCTGGTTGAAATAGAATTGAAATAAGGTCAAAACTGATTTTTACTATGTAGTTGCCTCAAGTTGAAACATTTTGACTTTGATGTTTTAATTTCGACTTCATGTATAGTAATTAACAAAGCAAAGTTCTAATTTTAATATAATGATTTAAAAAAAAATTAATTAAACAATTGATTTTAATTGATCCATTTAGAGTAATTTTCTTCAATTGTACTTTGATTGATGCCTTTTTTTTTTGAAATTTGTTGGGCACTTTTTGATATGCCTAAACCTAAACAATGGAGCTTCTGAAAAAATACAATTTCAGTGTCATCATCTAATACATTTAGCTTTTCTTGATATTATCCTTGGCTCTTGCTCTTCTTGATATTGTTCTTGTTCCTGCCCTTCTTGGTATCATTCTTGTTCTTGTCCATTAGTGTTTCTGTTGCCTCCTCCTCCTCCTCTGTACTAAGGTTTCTGGTCGAAATTGTAGCTGAAATTGCTGAAATACTTTGGGCAAAATTAATTTTTATAGGCCTAATTATTATCAAAGCTACTTTTTTTTCAAAATATTTTGG